TTTTTTTTTTTTTTTTTTGGACGATAATGAAAGAAGTTATTTAAAAAAAAAAAAAAAACAAGAAAAAAACCGATCAATCTTATTAAACCCTAACAGTAATCAATCTTAACAATCGTTTAAAATTTTGATAATTTTACGCGGTAAGCTTATTTACTTTACAAGATATTAGTTGTAATTTAAGATCAATAATCAAAGATCAATTAGATAAACAATGAGATATATGATAACATATTTATTTTATATTCTTCTGTTAAAAATAAACATAACTTTTGTTAATTTTTCTCTCTTCTACATTTTACCTTTTTTTTTTTTTTTCTACTGATATTTAAAATAAATTATCGATAATTTTATCAAATAATTATTTGTGTATAAATTAAATATTTTAATTAAATATAATTTAAAAAGAGTAAAAAAAGAAGAAAAACGAACGGAAGTAACAATGAATGGAATTAGAAATGTTGGTTTTTCGTAATATAACGCATAAAAAATCATTGTAGCTGTAATTGTATTCATAATTACCAATATAACATCAAGTATTAAATTCACTGAATAAATACCAAAACACATGCTAGCAATATTAAAAGCACATAATATTAATGCTGATGTTGCGACATATAATGTTGCCATCTGAAATAGATTTTCTTCTTTACAAAAACGAAAAATATCACGAAGAAAAAAAAAATTAAATCTATAACTTATGACAAGGAAAAATCAAAAAATCAATCAATAATTTATATGCTTCATTATTATAGAAAAAAGAGGAAGGTAAAAAATTAATAAATTCATAATAATATGCAAAACATTTTTTTCACTATAATAAAATTAACTGAATGAAAAAAAAGGAAAAACGAAAAAAACTTTTGGTAACAAGATAATATAGTCTAAATTTTATCATCAAATTGATAATTAAAATTTGAATTCAAAATAAAATTTTAAAATGTTTTTTTAAAAAAGTACTTTAATGTGAACGTTACCACCACAGCATTGATGTGTCGATTGTATATCACCATCAAAATCATCGGCGAAAAATATTTGACATGGCATGCCGAAACATCTCATCTTCTACAATAACAATGTTATAATAATCGCCCTGAAAAAAAAAAAAAAATTTCTTTTGTTCACTTGTTTTTGTTTCATTTTAAAATTTATTTTAGAAATTTAAAATCCAAGTATAATTGGAAATTAAATTTGGTAATATAGCTTTTTCTTTTCACTCTTATAGACTTATAACAAATATCTGTTTCTAATTTATAATCAAATTTTGTACATTAATTGTTAAAATTTCTTAAAAACAAAAATTATTTTTTGATAGGCAAAAAATCCATGAAAGGAAATAGCCAAACTTTTGCCTCCTACATTTTTTTCATTACCTTTGGTTGAATTGTTAATGATATTTCAAATTAAATTTTGAAAAAACTGATGAAAAACAAAAATGAATAAATAGAAATTAATTGCATTTAAAAATTGGGATAAATTGGTGGGCTAAGAATATTTTTATTGAATAATAATAAAAATAATAATGATAATAATAATAATAATAATGATAATAATAATAATAATAATAATAATAATAATAATAATAATAATAATAATAATAATAATAATAATAATAATAATAATAATAATATAATAATAATAATAATAATAATAATAATAATAATAATAATAATAAA